CGACATTCACGGCTCATAACAAACTAAAACCCAGATGGTTAGCAGCGATAATAAACCAAGAAGTGGCAAAAAAAATATATTGACAGAGCAAGTTGTTAAAACAGCCTTTTGCAGAGGATAAATGTGTCACATTGACATTTCCTTGTTTTCTCAGGAGGCTTCCATGTGAAACTGGACTGAGTGGCCGGCTGCCGACCTTTATGCTGATTCCTGACATCAGTCCTGATCTAGCAGATGGGATGTTTAGAAGTATTGGGTGTTTCTTGCTTTTAGGATGGCGCTTCTACTGCTTTTTAGTAAATATAATCTGGGGAAATAAAGAATTAAATAATCCTGAAATAAGCTTTCTGTGGTTTGGATTAAATTGGATGTAGAGAAGCATGTGGGCTACATTTAAGCAAATTCATTTGTTTTCTTTTAAAGAATAATTTTTATGATCCTTTATTAGACATTAATGCATTGCAAACCTTGTACTTTCACTTCTTAGAAACAAAATGCAAAAATAATACAAATAAAGATTCCATGCAGATTCCATCTCCTGTTTTATTTTTATTTATTTTTTTTACTTTCAATACTTTGCACAATAAGGTTTTTCAGGAAGCCTTCCTGCATGAAGTGGTGATGAAACCATCGGTGCTTGGATTAATCTGTTTAATTTATCTGTAGATGGGAAATACACCTCCAGACAAATAAAACTGGCTCAGTGACTCTTTGTTAAGGGAATATAAAAACACTCTCACCAACTTTATCTGTTTAAAGCCTTAGTGGTATTTTTCTCTTTTAGATGTCAGGAGTTCAGGAGTTCCATTATCTTCCTAAAAAGTCCTATATAAAAGTCCTACATAGCCAAATACTCTTAAGTGGATAAGTAATACACATATAATTCCCTTACACAATTACTATTGGTGAATTCAAAATTAGGTATTAAATGCTTATTTCCACCTCAGTGTTTGCATCCTTCCCTACTGTAAGCCTTTCAGTCAGCAGAGGGCAGTGTTGATTACTGATCGCTAATGAAATTAATGACTTTATAACACCTACTGGGGAACCACTCTATGGAGATCCAATAATGCAAAAATACATTGTTGGGTTTTAATCCAGAGAAATGTGAGTTTAAAAGATTAAAAGGAAAATGATCAACACAGAGACAGGGTTTTGTGACGTCAGTGTGTGCCGGGTGGAGAGAAGATCCTGGCTTGGAAAGCCATCACCTTCTCCCCCAGATCCCTTCATGGCAAAGCCTTTTATTAACAGTTTACANATTTGTAGCCTTTGATATAAACATCGATGTTTACCTGTTTTATTTTCACTCTCTGCTCCTCAGCCCGACATTCACGGCTCATAACAAACTAAAACCCAGATGGTTAGCAGCGATATTAAACCAAGAAGTGGCTAAAAAAATATATTGACAGAGCAAGTTGTTAAAACAGCCTTTTGCAGAGGATAAATGTGTCACATTGACATTTCCTTGTTTTCTCAGGAGGCTTCCATGTGAAACCGGACTGAGCGGCCGGCTGCCGACCTTTATGCTGATTCCTGACTTCAGTCCTGATCTAGCAGATGGGATGTTTAGAAGTATTGGGTGTTTCTTGCTTTTAGGATGGCGCTTCTACTGCTCTTTTAGTAAATATAATCTGGGGAAATAAAGAAGTAAATAATCCTGAAATAAGCTTTCTGTGGTTTGGATTAAATTGGATGTAGGGAAGCATGTGGGCTACATTTAAGCAAATTCATTTGTTTTCTTCTAAAGAATATTGTTTATTATCCTTTAATAGACATTAATGCATTGCAAACCTTGTACTTTCACTTCTTAGAAACAAAATGCAAAAATAATACAAATAAAGATTCCATGCAGATTCCATCTCCTGTTTTATTTATTTTTTTACTTTCAATGCTTTGCACAGTAAAGTTGCTCAGGAAGCCTTCCTGCATGAAGTGGTCATTAACCCATTGGTGCTTGGAATGTGCTGCACTATGCAATAATGGATTATGGCTTATCTGTAGATGGGAAATAAACCTCCAGACAAACAAAACTGACTCAGTGACTCTTTGGTAAGGGAATATAAAAAGACTCTTACAAACTTTATCTGTTTAAAGCCTTAGTGTATTTTTCTCTTTTAGATGTCAGGAGTTCAGGCGTTCCATTATCTTCCTAAAAAGTCCTACATGAGAGTGTCAACAAGCTTTTCCATTGACTTTCTATGCTTTCTTCTAATATTTCTTTACTATAACAAAAGACTCTTAAGTGGATAAGTAATACACATATCATTTCCTTACATAATAACTACTGATGAATTTAAAATTAAGTATTAAATGCTTATTTCCATCACAGTGTTTGCATCCTCCCCTACTGTAAGCCTTTCAGTCAGCAGAGGGCAGTATTGATTACTGATCGCTAATGGAATGAATGACTTTCATTTTCATTTGGACTTTCATTGAATGACGTACTGGGGAACCACTCTATGGAGATCCAATGATGAATCAATCCATGCTGATAAATATAAATTAATTTAAATATAAATCCAGGCATTGAATGTTTTAACTTTGACTTAAAATGTGGAAATTGTGCTTTCTAGACTCTTCCATAGTGTAGTGTTTTTAAACATATTTCTGACATAAGCATCAGCAACTTGAGTTCATAGAGCTCAATTAAAATTCAAATTTGATTAATTCTGTTAATTGCAATATTAACATGGGAATACAAGGGTTTTATTAGCACAACTATTAATAATGATAATATAT